CTCTCCTAAGCAGCTGGGTTCTGGGGCAGCCCTGTCACCTACGCTGTTGCTCAGTGAGAGTCGACAGCAAATCCTAAAAAGCAAACCTCGGGAGCCAGGTACAAAAACTAAACAAGTGAGGAAAACCATCCCCCGAATATTGGATATAAAACCTGCATGTGCCCAGCTCCCCCAGGCCCTGACGCTGCCTCTCCTAAGCAGCTGGGTTCTGGGGCAGCCCTGTCACCTACGCTGTTGCTCAGTGAGAGTCGACAGCAAATCCTAAAAAGCAAACCTCGGGAGCCAGGTACAAAAACTAAACAAGTGAGGAAAACCATCCCCCGAATATTGGATATAAAACCTGCATGTGCCCAGCTCCCCCAGGCCCTGACGCTGCCTCTCCTAAGCAGCTGGGTTCTGGGGCAGCCCTGTCACCTACGCTGTTGCTCAGTGAGAGTCGACAGCAAATCCTAAAAAGCAAACCTCGGGAGCCAGGTACAAAAACTAAACAAGTGAGGAAAACCATCCCCCGAATATTGGATATAAAACCTGCATGTGCCCAGCTCCCCCAGGCCCTGACGCTGCTCCTGTCCGGCTGCGTGGGAAGTGCCCCTGGGACGTAGCAGGGGGGCTGTCTGCTCTGTAACCCGGGGTTCCCCTGCGCTGTGATGTGCGATTCCCACTGACTCACCCACGTGTGGATTGGCCCAGATGCCTGGTCCCAGCCTGAGCAGTGAGCAAAGCTCTTCCCAGGGGGAGAGACAAAGGGAGGGAGGCGGAGACGAACATTTCGGGGCGGGGGGCAGGGTCTGAGAGCGAAGCAGTTTCTGGCTGGGAAACATGAAGGGAACAGACTAAGCTGAGTGCTGAGGGGGGCAATGGACCCCCTAACCCAAGGGGTCGGATGCATCCTGGCCCTGACTCCTGCAACCACATCACGTCTATGCGGTGCTGTGTCGTGGAGAAGCAATAAACCCCCTTTGTTCTACTGGCTGGCGGAGTCTGTTCTTGCTGCTACGGGGGTGCAGGGTCGGGGGGTCCAGAGTGCTGGGCAGGGCCGGTCCCTTGGCTGACCCCGAACTGGAAAGTAAATGCACGTTCCCCCACCGGGCGGAATCGGTCCCTACGACGTGGGCCGTGAGACGAGGAGAGCAAAGGCAGAAGGAGCCAGGGAGCTGAATAAACAGGCACCGGCCAAAGATATAGACCAATTTATTGATTATAGTCATTTTTTACACTCATAAATAATAAAAAGAAGCAATGCCAGTGGGAGGGGTTCACCTTTGCTGGGGGGGCAGGTTGGAGACTGAGTGCTCGCTGTGGGAGACGTGGGCAGGGCGAGGGCTGCAGGCAGCAAAGGGCCGGAGGCAGGTGGGGCCGGCAGAGGTGGAGGGAGGGTCTCGCGAGGGTGCAGAGGAGCAGACTGAGGCATCCCCACCGCCCTATGGGGCAGGGAGAGCTTCCCCTCCAGACCTTGCAGGGCCAAAGCGAGGGTCTCTGCCCGCTGCACCGAGAGGAAACGCCCAGAAAATCAGCCTCCTAAGCAATCTAAGGGCACGTCTACACCGCCGGGCTAAAGTGGAATGAAACTACACGACTTCAGCTACGTCAATGCTACGAGTAGCTCAGCTCGGCTTTTGGCGCTGTCTACGCAGCAGGAAGTGGAAGGAAGAGCCCTCTCCCTCCGACTTCCCTTGCTCCTCGTGAAACGATGGTCACCATGAGCCAGAGAGAGACGTCCTCCCGCTCGCCGTTATTTCGAAATCAAGGCTGGCGGCGCAGACGCGCACGATGTGATTTCGGAATAACGCTGCTGTGTAGATGCCTCCTCAAGGACTTTCCCTCCAAACTGCCCAGGGCCGGCCCACGACATTTTGGCACCTGAGGCGGGGAGCTCAAATGATGCCCCCCATGCTCCCTCACTTGGGCCAAAACTTTGCAAGGTCTCAATTCTGCCTCCTCCCTCTTCTACCCCTCTCGCGGCGCTGCTCCGCTATGCAGCCTCTGCACCGGCAACAGACGCAATTTTCTACACTCTGGTCCTAGTGGCGCCCCCCACAGTCTGGCACCTGAGGCGGCTGCCTCAGTTCGCCTCATGGCCAACACCCTGGCTGAGTGTCAGCCAGGGAGTAGCGGGAACTCCACTGCTCCACCTGCTCCGCGGGCACTCCTGAGGCGCTGAGCACTGTGGGCAGGGGAAGCGTCCGCGCCCTGAGAAGGCCGGTAAAGAGTCTCCTAATCTCCCCCTCCATGAGCCAGGAGGGACCCCTGACCTGACAGCGTCTCCTCAACTTCTCCCTCCCATCCGGGAAGGGCCGCTAGAGAGGAACAAGGGGGCGTGGGGCTTCTTCGCAAAGCAGATGCCTCACGCCTGGAGGTAGAGAGGAGTGTCTAACCTCCAGGGCTGCCCCACAGGCCCAGGGACAGCAGCTCTGACCCACGCTAACGGGTCTCTCAAAATGGCCGCGGATGTTGTTGGGGGAAGCTTTTGAGTTTCGAAGCACTTGGCTGTCGTAGGCAACCCCTGCTCGGACCCGGGCCACCAGCAGCCCAGGGCGTGGGCCCTGGCCTCCCTTTCCTCCGGCCCTGTCTCAGGCTTTGCTCCCTAACCCTCAAATCCCCCCTTCTCTGCAGGGTTCCTCAGGCTCAGAGCCACACTCCAGGCCAGTAGAGCTGGAAGAGACCTCAAGGAGGTCGTCAAGTCCAGCCCCCTGCCCAAGGCAGGACCCAGCCAGGGGCTCCGTGGCTCACCCGGGGTGGTCTTGCCTGTAAGCAGACCAGACCCACGCCAGCACTGGCGGCTGGGCAGCCGG